TATATATATATTTATTTATTTATATTTATATATTTTATTTATATTTATTTTATTTATACTTATATTTTATTTATACTTATATTTTATTTATACTTATATATATACGTATGTATATATATACAAGGCTTTGGTGTGTGATATCTTTTATAAGTAAAGTGGCATCTTTTAATTGGTTGACAAAAGGATCAAATAGGCATGGTCCTTCTAATCTCCGCTATCCCTCGACGTATAAAAACAGGCATGATTTATTGACTTATTCACTTAAACTAAAAAAAAAATAATAATAAAAAAAATTCAAATAGCATATTCAATCATTTTACCATTAAATTCATCTGGTGAATTTAGCCCTTGGGTCTGATGGGTCATGTCTCAGTGCTTGACATTTAATTTGTGTTGTGGGCTAAAAAGATTGCAAAACGAGGTTATAGATCAGTACATTTTTTTTTCTTATTTTTCAGATATGTGTTTCCGAATGTCCGAAGGAATCATACACAGCGTACACTGAAGTTTTCCGCTCGTCTGCAACTGGATTTATCCGTGGTCTCACAGAAGCAGATTTTGCACTACTTGAGAAATTTTGTGATTATGGTTTTAACCCCTGGGCAGAATATAATGACCCGACGTCTAAATATGTATGTTGTAATTATTATATTGCTTACTGTTATTAAAATTGATTTGCAATACAAAAATAAGTTCACAGCCAGCTTAAACGGAGTCAGCTCAGATTTAACCCAGACTTTTTCATTTTAGTGTATAAAAAAATTGGAAATATACCTAGTATCACTCCTGAATGTATCAGGGGTATAGACTGGTTTTGGCTGGGGTGGGGGGTAAGAAACGGCCTGGGGTGTGAAAACTAAGAATGCGGAACTGAATCACTATTACAATGAAAACCTACTGTTCATTTTTAGAATTTTAACCCACTTAGTCTAATTAATTTGCCACCATGGTCACCCTCCCCCCCCCCCCCCCCCCCCCCCCCCCTTGCCGTCAGTGTCCCTCTTCTCTCCAACGTTCACGACACAATGCTTTCCTGCCCAAAATGGTATAGCCACAACTAAATTTCCATCATATCCAGAGGAAATTCATATTCATGCTACGTAATGTTTTTTTGCCTTATCTAGTATCGTGAGGATGGATTGGCCAAAATGCTGGAGGATGAGAAATGTCCAACATATTATCTGGAAAGTGAACCATGTAAGACCTTTATCGCTCATATATATATTTTTTGTTTTAATTTATCTGTTGGATTATTTGGTTAACCTTGTTAAATGATTGTCAGTATTTTTATGTTTGTCTCCTTGACTACAGTATTTGTTTCCCTGTTTTCTATGTGTGAGGTAGTGATTTGGTCTCTCAAGTTTAGAGTTTGAATGCTACGCTGTCCATTGGCTTGTGTCCCTAGGCAAGACACTTTATCCACATTGTCTCTCTCCACCCAGGTGTATATTGTGGGCACCTGGTAAGCATTGTGTCAATTACGCACTGATTCAGCAGGGACAGTTGTGGAGTATGTGGTAATAATGTGCCACGCATAGACACATTAGTGATATATGCTACTGTATATAAGAATGCATTTATTATTATTTTTATTATTATTATTATTATTATTATTATTATTATTATTATTATATTTTTTGTTATTTGTTTTTTTTTTATCTATTAAAAAAGTTTACAAAGTGAATGAAGAAATCGAAAAACTTACCATTAAGAAAAAAAAATTGTGATTTTCATTTGTTTTTCTTATTTATAGCTTATTTTACCAGGATAACATTTCAGTAATATATCCAATATTAAAATACGTAATATAGTATACTGCTTTTTTCCTGGCTATTTATTAAATTAATGGACAACACTTTCCATATTTCAGTTCTTGAAAGATGTGTTCCTAAGTTTCTGGTGGATCTTGTTGAAGGGGTTGTAGATGCAGCAACAGCAAAAGATAACTTTACATCAGGGTTAGAAAAAACAAATAATGGACAGAATCTCACATTATCCAATGGGGACACATACAGCTTGGACAGCCTCGCTTCATATCTGTCAAAGTAGGTTTAGCATGATTGGTTATTCAAGTAATATTCATTATGAATGGTAATAATGATAACAGTCTTTTATAATATATTTCTTTTTTGTCGATCACAATATAGGGTCATAATTTTACCTACATACTACGTTTCGTGAATGCTTGATTCACTTCGTCAGGTAGTATGGTGGTGTTATTTCCAGTGTGGTCTGACTTCATCTCGGTATAAAGGTTGAAGTGCACCTGCGCCATCCACTGTTTGTCTCCTGGGGCCTGCTTGTTTGTAGTTGCATCTTGTATTATGTTATCAAATATATGTATAAGTTCATGTCCTCCAGTATTCTGATTCATATTGTCCGGAGTAGATGACGCGGTGCACTTCAACCTTTACAACACTGAGATGGAATCAGACAAAACGGTAAATAATAGTGTGTAGTTGTCAATAAAATTCATCTTCATTTTATAGGGCTGTCAGTATATTCCTAAATTTTCAGAAGACTGCTGCTCTCGTTCTGGATGATTTCTATGCTGTTTGGTACTCAATAGTGATGTAAGGCCAGAATATTTTATAATACTTTGTTTAAATAAACCTTTTTATTGCAACAAATTGTTTCGATGAGCATTTGATGTTCTATAAATGTTTCCATTAATACTAATTATGTAAAGGGGTATTGTAATAAAGAAATACAGAGGTTAACAAGTATAAATTTAATAGTCTATGATTCACAGTGGAATATGCACTCAAATTTGCATATATTCTGGAAATTTTTCCCTACACTTCACCCTTGACCACAAAATATACCCCACTTGAATTATCCCATAGACTTTTCAATTTATGGTATGGTCGGCCATTTATCATAGGGTCTTAAACACTCTATATTTTGTACATTCATTCATTCCTTCATTTATTATTTACAGGCAACATACAATAAAATAAATGCAAAAGTAAACTTAATTAATTTTGAGAGGCTCTCCCAAAAATAAAACCGTTAAAAACTTGACAATGTGTTTTTATTTTTGTATGCAAATAACCTCTAACAAATTGATCAATCCGTCAATTCAATCAACCTTAATATCTCAATCAAAATTTACAAATATAAAAAATATTTATCTTGATAAAGTTACTTTATAATGGCCAAAAGATTTTGTTAATTGCTCAGAAAGTTTGTACATTATACATGAACAACAATATCTTTACTATAATAATTTGACTATTTCATTGTTTTCTTTAAATGAACAATGCCCACAGCATATGGTGTTGTAATGTGTTGATTCTGAATAAACCTTTGGTAATACAGAATGTACTTAATTAATAATGAAGTTAAAATTTCAACATATTTCATCCATGGATATGTAATGGCAGTCAAGATATTGGTGTAATGAGATGATGAGCAAATGTTTAAACAAATATGATACTTAAGCAATTGACTTCTGGCTATTTTCTCTGGCAGCCTAAAGAATTACAGGACCTCTGTAGTATTACTGAGTGTGCCTGTGCATTTCACAGTCTCTTACACAAGGATCCAAAGTCCCCCGGAACTCCCGGGAGTCTCCCAGAAATTGGGATGGTCTCCCGCGCTCTGCAAACAAGCAAAGATCTCCCGGAAATTCACTTATCTCTCGCAAATTCAGTAAAAACTATTCTTTTTGTTTTAATTTTTTGTTGCCAATTATTTTTTGCAGTCTGACAGTATCATTTCCGGGCTTCTAAAGGTGCCTATTCTAAAAAAATGTCATCAACTCAGCCCAATAATGGTGGGCCAGAGGTGGGCGTGGCCCTTAATTTGGTACCTACATTTTTTCCTTGTAGAATATATAGCGCCCCCAATGTCATTAAGTGAAATGGTTTCTTCCAACTTGGGGCCCCCTTATACTTACATTACCAGTGATGAGTAGTAATACCTTTTATATCCCTGGTCCTCTAATCAAAATTCTCAGCCAATTGATTTTTTTTTACTGTGGTAACAGTTTGGCTTAACGGTTTATGTTCTCAACCATGGACCTTGGACCTAATTCACATTTCTACTCACTCATCAGTAAAAGTTGGTAAAAGTTAGAATGTCAAATGTGCTGACTAGCTGGTGCAGTGTTATGGAATACTCCCCAAGGAGCTGAGGTTTTTAATTAAATGACCGGCAATAAAAATGTGAAGTGCATTGATGCCCTAGCACGATGCAATATTATTACTATTATTATTGTTTATTGTATTTTTTATTTTGTTATTGTTGTGTTAAGTGCCAGACCAAGGATAGACATGCATGCATATGTGAATTGGCTCAATGGGTATTATTACTCGAACACATTATATTTCTACAATTTTTTTTATCTCTCTTGCATATTCCTATAGGTTGTTATTACTGCTGGTTTAGGTACATGAAACTTGAGGACATGCAAACCAATGCAGAGAAGTCCCTTGCTGACATTGGCTTTACGACTGACCTTGAAAGCTACTTGACCTTGAAGGACACCTGGTATGCCTTTGGTAAGTTACCTCTCCTATGTTGAAGCACTCAGGGTGCTGCACTACGTGTTATACTTGCCAAATGCTATGCACTATGCGTGAATCTCACACATTAGGATCAATAAGTATCTCTTGCACCTATTTCACAGTTACTCACACTCATAAACCTCATACTTAAGAGTTCAACTGTAGACAAGGAGGAGGAGGGGGGAGACTGAACCAAGGGCCCATTAGAGCCTCGGTCAGGATCAAAGGATTAATTACTTGGTGGGGACATGAGGAGAGATTTTATGGTTTAGAAATGGCCCAAAATTGGGTTTTTAGACCACAATATTAGGGATTGCAAATTAATATTTTTAGATGACAGGGGTCGATGTTTGGTAGGATGTGAAAGTAGGTAGTGGTAGTGCTAAATTGGCAACATGACTTAAACACTACCTTGTAAGTCCGAATAATTTCGATCTTTTAGTAGGGTCTTGACTGAACAATAATCATCTTAATTTATGTTCATTGTCACACACAACTTTATCAAACTTTAGTGGCATAGTGGCTGAATGCTATTTGGAGAGTCAAGCCCTTGGCCCTCAGCCCTAACACCATATCTTTCCTTCGGGTGGTCCCTTATTTAACTATCCAGCACTCTGCAACAACAACATTTTTTCACACTCAGACCTCATGACAAGTCAGTTCACTGCAGTCGTCATCAACATCATCATTGTCACCATCATGATGATCGTCTTCACTGACGTCCACCACAACCATGGTTGTCGTCTTCATTATAAGTATTAACCAATTTATGTCATGTTGTGCACACTGTCAGTATCTCAAGTCTGTATGCTGATTTTGTGCTGAATTTGAGTGTTGTTCTATGTGCACATACACTCATATCATAGTGTTTTTATTTGCACATTCTCTGCACGCATCAGAAAGTACATTTTACTACACTGGTAAGTAGAACGTCATGCAGTTTGCACACAGTATATAACATATAACAGTACATAACTTGTCCCCCTTCCCCAACCTAAATGTAATTTTATTATAATTCTTGCTTGTCTTTGCTTGTTTTTCTGACATTATTTGAATGCTTTAAGGTTATATATTTCAATAGTTTATTTTTTTGCTGTCAAAGGTAGTGGAATTCCTTTGCTTTTCTGTTGAATTGTGTGTCTCTTTAGTATTATAGCATTTAATAAAAAGTATATGCAGTACATCTGTTTTGGTCAGACTATTAATATTGTATTTATATATACTTTGTAATGCTTTACTTTTAATTTACAAATAATTAAATATTTTATTATTTTACTTGTTCTATATTACTTTTATTTTGTATACTCTTACATTATTCAATTTTACTATTTACTTTTCAATCTTCTGTAAAAATAATTCTGTCTAAAGTTGAAGAAACCCTTTGTATTCTCTTTGCAATTTAATTTTTTAAGTATATAGTTTAATATATAGATGGTCTGACTATTACAAAATATTTATATACTTTGTAATGGTTTTCTTTAGTTCATTAGTTCAGTTTGCCTATTAAGATCTATACACACTTGCGACAAACACCTGTGATTTGCCAATATATGGGTAGGCCTATAACATGGCATCATCATGCCCATATTTGGAAAGTTTATGATGATCATCATGCCCAAATATGGGTAATTCATATATAATTCTCTTTTATACGTTCACACTGATGAGCATCTGAAGAACCTATAATATCTCTTGAAGCAAGAAGGGAGTTAATCTTTGTTGTTAATGCTTTTAAAATTTTTAATGATTTAGCTTTTATTTTCCTGAAGACTACTTTTCATTTCATTTTTTTCTTCCCTTTGATGTCAGACATCTAAATTCTTTCAGGCTTTTAAGTCTTCCATATTTTCTTTGCTTCCAGAGATTCAATCTGTTATGTCCCCTTAACTTTGAGCATTTCCAATTTAACTGTCTTGTCATTCTTATTGCTCTTTGTTGTAATTATTTTCAGTACTGTATTATCATTTGCAACTATGTACTTCCCGCAAATTGGAATTTGTTATAAACTCCTTAATTTTTACTGTCCTTTTAACCGTGTAATTTTAAAATATAAGAATGATGTTTATACATGCAAATGAATAGTTGGAGAACAGTCTTGATACAACTATATCCATACCAATTTTAGTAGCCTGGCTAGCATAGGCATTTTGCAATTCAGAAAATAAAAAATATGTAAACTTACTGATGTAAATTCACACAATTTTGAAAATTATATTTAAAAATATTGGGCATCAATAAGTTCAGGTATGC